GTATTTCTGCCACAACTTCCACATTATTCATCGCAATTGGGATTATAATATATCGTTGGAAAGATCTTTTTAAGACCCATCCAACTACACTATTATTGAACCCATATCATGGACCAAACTAAAATGAAATGCATGTTTTTCATAAATAAGGTAAGAAAAGAAATATTTTTAAAAACAGAAAGAAGAGATATTTGAATAAAAACATCCTCATCACTAGACTTTTCACATTTTCGCTTTGTTCGATAATCAAATGACGTAAAAGGTATTCATCATTGGGTTTGGTTTTGGGGAGACACATTTGGGTGTCTACACCCATCTACGGGGATACTCGTCCGTTATGGCAATAGATGGTCAGACACCTAATATCAGCCCTCGTCCAGGCGAGAACGGTCATGTAGAGGACATAGTCCCTCTAATTCTTTCCAGTGATCCATTGAAAACCTCATTTCATGAGGCCGATGATCCTTCTTTTACTACTGCTTCTTTGCAGACCACACTCAAAAAACTTCGGAAGGAGTTTGAGAGCAACCGAGCTTCCACCTCTAGGCAGCCGCCCGGAAAAGAGGGAGAAAGAGCTCCAAAGAAAACTCAGAACAGAGCAACCAATGCAACGGATGCTGGGAACACCCCATTTCGTAGACCGAATGGAAGGTCTCTGATGGTGCCACGGAAGAATTTGTCTAAGCTATTGGCGAAAACCTTGTCGGCTGGGGGAGGGGCAAACAGCCTTGAAGGGAGGAGACAGAGTCGTCTCGACGCTGGAAGGACGCAAGAGACTACCTTCGGCATAAACTACGGGAACATGCCACTTACTCGGAGACGGCTTCAACTCCTACAATGCCGGATGAATTTTCTTACTACTCTCTTTCCCAGCATAGCAATTTGGCCATCTCCAGCAGGAGTCAAGCTGTCCATACTCCAACCCCTATTCTAGTACAACCGCTTCAGTATCAATCCCCTGAGGGTTTCAACGACATTTTGCAGCCGAGCCCCCAGGTCTTCGGAGAATATGGGTCTTTCGGCCAGACGTTTGGCCAAAGTCCCTATTTGGACGGATAACGTGTGCAACCCCAGCCAATTGATTGGTAGATGTGCTTACTCACTCTTGGAGATAAGCCGCCTCCGTTTTCGCAAGAAATTTTAACTGCTCCTTAGCCGCCGAAGGTGAAAAGTGTACTCGTGGGCGCCTTTGATGTTACGGGAAACCCCGAGGAACATATCACTTCGTACAGAAACCTGATGTACTTACAAAGCGTAGATGATGCTACTTGGCAAGTGATTCCTGGCCACTTTGAAGGGTGTGGTGCAGGATTAGTTCAGTAGCCTTCCGACCGAGTGTATCAATTGCTTCACTACCCTCAGTTTGTTGTTTGTGGGGAACTTCTCTTACAACATACAACCTCGAAAGACAAGTCTTAATTTGGCAACAATTGTTCAAGGAAAAAATTAAATGAGGGACTACATTCGTACGTCTAAAGATTTAACCAAGAAAAAGCCCAAATTCATAATCTACCGGATGAAATGGCTTACTCTGAATTTCTCCGGGGATTAAGGCATAATAGTTTTAAGTTTGATTTGGTAAGAAAAACGGTTCGAACATACGCAGGCGTTCTGCGGGAAGCCGAAGCCTACATTGAAGCGGCCGACTTTTGTTCACTTACAAAAGCAGAGGCACTAGCCAAGGGGGTTGAGAAGAAACAATCTACTCAGCAAGACTCGGCCGGAAAAAAGAAAGAAGGAAACTAAAGGAAAGAAGTCTGGGTGGCTGACGGCCATCAACCAAAATAAAAGAAAGTCAAGACGTACGAGCCCAAGTATTAGTTCAACAAGGATTGTTACTCCATCCTGATGGAAATAAAGGATAAGTTCAAGTTTGAAAAGCCCCAACCGTTAAGAGGCTCGGCTTAATACAGGAACAAAAACAAGTACTGCCACTACCACAAACATGCGGGGCATGACACAAACGATTGCATTAATCTGAAGAAACTGTTGGACAAGCTAGCCGAGAACGGCATGCTGAATTCTTATGTGATGAAGTCCAAGTTCACATATACACGGACAAACAACACGTCCGAAAAGAAAAAGAATAATGATAAAGAAGATGGTAAGAACATTTCCGATTCGGGTTTTGTGGCTGTCATATCGGGGGGATTCCCCTTAGGCGGCCCCGCCATGAAGGGTTTTAAGCAGAACACCTAGAACTTGGGAAAGGTGATGTAGGCGGACGCTGTGAAGGCCGAACCTTTCCCCAAAGTAACCGTGTCCAAAGCTGACCGGGGGGAGGTCAAAGCCCTGCACGACGACCTTATGGTGTATATCATGAAGATAGACAACTTAAAAGTGGGTCGAATACTGATAGATACGGGAAGCTCATCTGATATCATCAGTCTGGCCGCCCTGAAGAATTTAAAGTTCCCAGAAGATGCTCTGAAAGACATCACTCACCCCTTGCTGGGAGTTGGGGGAAACATCATTCACCTAGTCGGAAAGATAGATCTACCAGTTCGTTCAGGGCAAAAAGAGAAGGGAGGGTGTAGGGAATATTTCAAGCATTACCCAAAACTTGAACCCAACTGTGATCATACACTTAAGCATGGTGGCGTCCAAAGGGAAGGAAGCTAGAGCAAAAGAGTCGCCAACAAGTTTTAGGAACTTGTAAACCGTTCACAGGGTGAAGATTACACCCCTTCACAATCCAGGAGATCGTTAACTCCAATAGGTCTGGAACCATGACTGGAAGTTCGGGGATTAAGGTACAAATCCAATCTAAAAGAGAAAAAACCTGCCCTAATAATAAGCCTGTACTTTATTCTTCTCGTATTCATGTGCGCTTTCTGACTAACATGCAATCATTAGGTTTACCCTAAACCTGTTTATCTATGTTGGTTAAATATTAATGCACAAATAAAACTATTATTAGCGATCACTTGAATTATAATAAAATTAACCCTAAACAAGATTATTAATTATCTGATTAAGCGTGATTACAAGTACAAATTCCCCTAAACATGTATAAAAGGCGTGATCAAGAAATAAATAAATATATATCAAGCAACATAATAATAATCATCATAATCATAATAATCATGTTAAATCATAACAATAGCAAGATCCTAGGCATGATACTAACAAGATTAATAACAAACACTAGCATGCCACTAACAATAAAAATCAAAGCTTTAGCCCTAACATGATACTAACATGGATATAAGGAAAGACAATAGGAAGCATCGCAGGAATCATAATAAGCATATTTAATATTATAACCCTTTACCCTAAACATGATACTAGGAATCATTGTTATCATTCAAAACATCGAATTATGGAAAACACCCTAACATGATACTAGGAATCAACAACCTAGACACGATTTCTATATTATAATATCAAATAAAACAATTAAAGCACTTACTTGGATGCCTCGTATCTCTTTCTAATAACAAAATACGCACGTTAGTAACTTCAAGGAAAATAATAAAAAAAAAAGAATTAAACTAAATAATTGTAAGAGAGAATTGGGACCAAACCCTAAGAAATCAAAACCTTTCACGTCTAGGGCGAAGGCAACTTCAAACTTGGCTAGGTGTATCTAGATCTTGTGAATGCGGGATTTTGTTTGAGAAAAGGCTAGTTTAGAAGAGAGAGAGAGAGTATCAAGAATTTCTTGATGAGAGTTGGTGATTGAAAACAGAGGTTTTAGGAGGCTATTTATAGAGAAAATCAGCCAAATATGATAAAAAACGAATCAGAGTTTCGAAAAGAATAAAACACGACGCTGTCGCCAAACACGTGCCTGTCGCCAGACGAAAGGGCTATCGCCAAACGCCAGGTCTGTCGCCAGGCGACAGACGTGTCGTTCGGTGCTGCAATCATTTTTCCACGCGTTTTCTTATTTTGATAAAATTTAAGCGTACGAGAGGGTAAAACTGTAATTTCCTTAAAACACTTCTTTTACTCTAAATAAAACTCTTAAAAGTCAATTTATCAATGCTAATCAAATTAGGATTTAATTATGATTTTAGACGACTATAATCAATCTTAATCGCATTAGGAATGATAAATCAATATTAGGCCCTCCTTTAGATCATTGGGCCGCATATAAAGATCAAACCGGGCCCAATTTAGTAATTTGGCCATAACTTCCTCATTATGCATCCGAATTGGGCTTATAATTTATCGTTGGAAAACTCTTCTTGAACCCGACCCAACTACACCATTATTGGACCCTTGCCATGCACCAAACTAAACTGGCTTAGCTATTTTCTTAAAATAGGTTTGCAAAAAAGGGAGAAAGAAAAGAATTAAAAACTAACCGCATCACTAGACTTTCCACACTTTCACCTCATTCAATTATGATTCGACGTGAAAGGTACTCATCACTGGGTTTGGTTTTGGGGAGACACAAATAATGGGTGTCTATAGAAGCCCCCACTTTGACTGAGTTTGAAGAAACGCAAGTTTCAAAAACAAAAGTCAAAGTAGCGATAGGGACGGAGAATGATTCAAAACGTTCTGCAATCCTAAATCATTCTTGTAACGCCATTACCTGCAAACTAGCGTTAGTTAAAACAGATGAGAGAGTTAAGAAACGCGTATCTTGCACCGTCGAGCACACATCTCTGGAGGTAACCGATTTGTGTTGCATTGCTGTTGTGACAACCTTCCACAAGCTAGTGAACGCCGTCTTGCTGTTGTTTTGACGATCTTCCGCAAGCTAGAGAATACTGCCTGAAGACTGCTACGCTTGTAACTGCCTCCAATTCTGCCGTGATAGACTTCTGCAAGCCAGAGAATCCCATCGAAGATTGCTTCGCCTGAAACAACCTTCTAGCGCTTTGTGACCATCTTCCGCAAGCCAGCACTACCACAAAAAGTGAAAAAAGGAACGCTTAATACACAACTGTTAAGATGGATATGCGATCTCTAGGATTTTATAGTAATGCCTAGGTAAGATGACCGTTTTGTATGTTGAATCTTATATAACGCCTTTCTAATCCTCCGCTCTATTTGATTTTTAATTATATGTTTTAAAAAATATAAATTTACATAAAGAACGCCTTTCTTGGCTAACAGTTCTGTTTGATTTAAACATAATAAAAAAACAATAATAAATCGGATAATATTAGATTATAACTAACCCTAGGACAACTCTCCTCCTTATTTCTTTACTCTTAACTTTTCAACAACCGTTCTTTCTCATCCATCTCATAGATTTCCTCTTTCTCTTTTCCTCAGATCCGTTTCGAGTTCTTCCCTCAATGAATTTGATTCTAATTGATCGGGTCGTTGATAGAGAAAGAGATGCTTGATCTACCTTAGAGAAGCTTGACCATGGCGAGCGATGCGGACACTGATGATGAAACTCCTCTGTTGATTTCGCCGCAATTTCCCATTGTTCCAATGGACACGGTCGATAATTTTAAGTTGGTTCTTTACTCCTATTGAACTATCTCAAAGCCGTATCAGTAGATCGAAGTCAATGAGATCCAATTTAAAGGTAAATCATTCATCTTTATTTTGTTAAATTTCATTTAAATTTGGCTTCAGATCTTGTATGGCTTATTTATTTTTCATCCATTTCAAATATATGATTATTTAAACTCTTTTTTTTTTTACAGATATATGATTGAGATTTGAAAAGTTCTTTTTTTTTTTTTTTTTTTTTTTTCTCATGTTAGTGCCAAATTAGATTTTAAATTAATCATGTCTTTTTGGTTGAACACTTCTGCAAAAACCCAGCAGCGTTTGGTATATGATTGAAAAATTTGTATTGATATCAACATACCTTTATATCCAAATTCTAATGATTTCAATTTTTAATGCTGGATTTTGCTTGATTCTTAATCAAATCTTAATTTTGGTGTTATTTTGAAATTATATTTCTCGCATTCGTAGAGTTTTGATTGGAATTTCTTAGATTTTTTTTCACCGCCAATTGTTTTAACAGTCTAGGAGTTTTGTTTTAATTGCTGGACGTGTTTTATGGATTTAAGCTTTTTTTTTTTTGTTTTGATAGTTGTGTAATAATGGTATTTTTTATGTTAATGCAGAGAAGATCAAGTATTGTCTTCAAAAAAAAAAAAAAAAATCAAGTACTGTATATATGATTCGTTGTGGGACAGCAACATACAACTTTGAAAGAATAAGAGATTCTTGTAGTTTTTTTTATTTTTTATCTTGTTATTTATTTTTCATTTACATTTAAGTTGTATAAAAAAATTATTAATTTAATAGAAGTTTCTATAACCTTTTGGATTTCCACTATTTATTTATTAAGTTTTTTAGTTTGCAAATTAGATGCGTAAGTGCCTAGTATCTGGCAAATGATTTTGTTTTTGTTTTTTTTTTTAAAGGAGGAATAGAGAACTGTTGGCATACCAAACAGTTCTTTATGGTAAAGGAAAACAAAGCGGCTAAGTGTCATGACCGTTCTCGTTTTCTTCATTTTTATCACATTTTAGGAAGGGAATAGAGAACTGTGATCGGACACAACCGTTCTTTATAGTTGAGTATGCAAAACGCTAATTCAAACCATTATATAAACTTTATACATCGCTTAGCAGAAGAACGGTCCTCAGGCGATCTATAAGGCCTATTTCAACCGTTTTCTAAGCCCTTTTTTGTAGTAGTGTTGGGAACATGACCAAAGATTGCTTCGCCTGAAGCTATCTTCATTTGTTGCGACAATAACCTGAAGAGTATCACCAAAGACCAATGCCTTTCGATCCTTTTCTTTTGCTATGCCAATGCGTCGGCGCTTTGCTGCTTTTGAACCAGTATTTCGGTGCTTCTGTATATTGAACCAGTATGTCGGTGCTTTTGTGTTGTGAACCATTATGTCGGTGCCTTGTTTATAACCATTATGTTGGTGTCTTTGTAGTGAGCCAATGTTTAGGCGCTTTAAGCTAAGTGAGACGATCATTTATCAGGTCGATCACTTAATGTGATTGTAATCGAGTCGATTACTTAATCATGTCAAATTGCTTATTGGGGCTAATTGGCGTACCAAGGAACCCAAAATTGCTGCACGAGACCGAAATAACCATTCTGAGAGGTTTCGAGCTCTGTTGCCGATGGCGCATCGATTTTGCTTTATCGCCATACACTGCACTCTGTTGCCAGGCAACAGAGCTGTCGTTTGACGCTAGAATTGGGATTTTCATATAAATCCCTTTTCTTCCTCATTTCGCTGCTACTGCTCTTCTTTCTTCGAGTTTTGCCATAAAAGTTCGAATTGCTTGTTCTCGCTCGTTTCTCAACCAAGTTCGCTCAAATTTGTTGCAAATTAAAGCTTTGTTCATCTAGTTTCGTGATCTAAATAAGTGTTTTCCAAACTCACTCGAATTTTGATGAATTTCGCATATGTTTGTTCACGAATTTAATGATTATTCAAAACTTATATTGCTTAATTTGCTTGATTATGTTTGCATATTGCCTTGGGAGTATTTTGAGACTTGTTTGACTCAATTTGGTGAAGAAACGAACAATTCACCATTGTTGACCCTCTTAAGGTCGGGAAAACAATGTGGCTCGTTCTTGATGTTCTTGCTAGCAATTCTTGTCCAATTTTCCACAATAATTATCATAATATTGCAAGAAATCATTTTGGTGCTTGAAAAATGCCATATATACTTGAATTGAAATTGTGCTCTGTTTTAGTACTACGTACTCAGTTTTTTTGCGAACATAGTATCATGCGGCTAGGTGAACCTTAGATATTATAGAACCTTAATTTTTGTTAATTTTGCACAATGTAGTATGGCTAGACAACGAGGTTTGTGTTCACGGTCCCGAGAAACGTGACGGGAGCATGAACCCGTTGAGGAGGATGTCGACCTGTCCACTTCTCTTGGTCCCTTCCCCGACCTGTCCACTTCTCTTGGTCCCTTGCCCGAACTGTCCACTTCTCTTGGTCCCTTCCCCGAATAGGATGAGCGGACATTGTACTTTGCCCCAGACCACCACATTTCTGAGAGGGTGCGTCGCGGGATTACTATTGGTAGGATGCGCTGCCACGGCTCAGGTAACGACACCCTGGGCAAGCTGTACATCACGTACTTCAGCGTCGATGAGGGTTTGCGACTTCTCTGGGAGTCTTGTGGGCTGACTACCCTGTTTTTGGGCCACGCAGGCTATTTACTCTTTTGACGGGAGTCACCGCGTGGTTCGTGCTCTGGTGGAGTTCTTTTGGGACACCACCAACACTTTTCACTTCCCTTGGGGTGAGATGATGGTTAACCCATCCGAGTTCAGTCTCATCTCGGGACTGGAGTTTAGTTCGACTGCACTACCATTCGACAGCTCATCAGCGTCAACCCTCCAGAGGTTGATGAGCTATTGGGTCTGATTGCTGTTCAAGCCCGTGCTGAGATGGAGCCATCACGATTCAGCTCCAAGTGCATTCTCCGGTCTACTATGTCGATAGCTTTTAAGGACAATGCGACCACCCGAGAGCAGCGGGTGCGCATCTTTGCGCTTATTTTGCTGTTAAAGACGTTTTCCCCTGACAAGGGTAGTAGGCTGCTACTTTACTACCTTCTTGTTGTCCGCGATCTTCAGCTGATCGGGACTTATGACTGGGCCAGCTTGGCCTACGCTGACTTTCTGCGCGCATTGCAAGACTCCTGTCGACACTGGTTCCACACGGGAGACATCGCTCTTTTCGGCTTCTAGAGAGTCGTACAGGTATACTTCGTCTTTTACAAAGTTAGCTCTAAGCTCTTGTTAGCACTTGCAAATATATTTTTATCTTTTGTAGATTTGGTTCTACGAGTACCTTCCTTCACTCGCTCCGGCGTGGTCGTCACCACGCGAGAATTTGTTGGTGCCTGTTGGGGAGGCCGCTACAACAACCGGGCGACTACCGCCCATGTTCGAGAGCTGATCCTTTCGGTATGATTTTTTCATAGTTATCATCTTTGAATTGCTTTTTGGTAGATCTTTACCTCATAGGCATTCTTTGCAGGAGCCTGAGGTGTTATACCGGCCACGGGGCAGTTTGGTTGTTCATGTGCTGACTGCGCAGTGCACTGCTGAGCGTCGCTACTTCCTATGGACATATGGGGCGGCGCCATACCAAGGAGAGAGAGTTGCTATTCAGCACTCGGAGATTCCTGTTGTCCCTGCTCTTCCGCCACGTGAGGCTACTTAGCATGTCGAAGAGGTCGCCTGCTGGAACCCCTTGGTGATCTCATGCGATCCTAGGGCGGTGCTATACGGAGGAGTTGCTACCATTGTTAGCTCCGGCCCCTGTTCTGTCAGCGGAGGCGGCGGTATGATTTTTATCTTTTATCTTTTTCGCTAAGTAGCCCCCAAGCGATATTTTATTCACCTTGGTTTTCTTTTTGCCAGACCGAGCCTACTGAGTTTGTGCCCCCTCGTACCTCCATCCACTATCAGGGGACATACGGGCCTATCGAGGAGATGATTCCTTCGGCTCCTGAGGGTCAGCGCTTTGTTGAGCGTTTTATTCCTCGTCACCAAACTCAGGTGAGTTTTTTACTTGCTATTTGTTCATATCTATCTTGTATTGTTACTGATTTTATTTCTTTGACAGTTCTCGCACGAGGTGGTTACGACGATGTCGAGGTGCATAGAAGCCTTTCGGAGCCAGCTCGTGCGGATGAGGAACGTGGCTTCCCGTCATCGCGACGAAGTTGTTTAGGAGGTAGCTTTTTCTCTTTATTTCTGCATTGTTTATATTTCTATTTTCATTTCTTCTGATTTGATTTCTTCTTGCAGGGACAACCTATTCCTTCCTGTACTCCGACGAGACCTAAGGTTCGGAGAGAGCCGACTAGGTCTAGCTCGAGGCGTCGCCACACTAATTCTAGTGGTCTGGGTGGCCGATCTAACAATGCCCGGACCGAGGCGGTGGAGGGCTCGGACTCTTTATCTGAGAGTGCGCATGCTGGGCCGACAGGCCAAAGAGAAGCGACTTCGGCTCTGAGAGGTGGTGGGACATACGAGGTCGACTCATCGTCACAGCAGCCTCCACAGCCTCAGCCTCTGCTGATTCATCACCAAGACGACCTTGGGTGGACGGGTCCTGAGTTGAGTTTCCCTCCTCCTGGAGAGACTGGTGCTGGTGGGGAGCATACTCCTCGTTCTGCGCAGTTCTTTGATATGGTGAACATTCTTCATCATCTGTGTCCTCTAGCACCGTAGTTGTACCTGTGTTGTTTATTTATTTTGACTTTTATAGGACTTTGCCAGATTGACTCATTTGTTAGAAATATTTGTATATATAGACTATTATTTGTTATGACTGTATTATTTTTGCATTTATTTTTTCATTTTTATGTGCATATGTGTGTGCAAAAATTGTAATAAAATTGTGATTAATTTTGCGCAAAAATTTTCGTCATTTTTATTACTAATGGAGGGTATCCGACTTTCTCCCCCAAAAAGAAAAAATGAAAAATAGATTGGATTTAAAAAAAACTTAAAATTAAATTAAGTCTGAATAAATCAAAAAATAAAAATGGAAGGAAAATATATGAAATTAATATGTATGGGTTTTTGTAGAAAGGGGTAAAATCGTAAAGTCATTGTACGAATTCAAATCTTAGCCTAAAAAACGCGGTTTGTATAGTACGTTTAGGAAACGCTGCAGCGCCACATGTCGCCACGCGTTTTGCGCTGTCACCGAGCGTTGCTGCTGTCGCCAGGCGACGGGTTTGTTGTTTGGCGCTGCAGTGTGCTGATAATGAGTCCTTTCCGAGGTAAAACTGTATCGATTTTGTGCATAAAAAGCCTTCTAATCTTCCGAATTTATGTATAATTCTAACAGATTAATAATAATCTTAGCTTCTCAACAAATAATCATGTCTTTAGTTACTAAGAGTTTTAGAAATTTCACGAGTGAATGGTGTCGGTCTTTAACTGCTATAGAGAGAAAAGAACTTGACTTTTTTCACATGGGAGGTATTTATGGTGTTAAGGGGGTAGATCTTGATATAGACTTTATTCATACCGCCTTAGAATATTGGGACACATATACTCATTGTTTTAGACTAGGGTGTGATGAAATTAGCCCTTTATCGGAAGAATTTGGTGCCATCTTAGGCTTCCCTTCATTTGATCTTGCGGTAATCCCTGGAATAAATGAATATTATTATAAAGATTTAAAGAGCTTCTTTAATTTAAGAGATAGAGATCTAAAAAATATTGTAGATGGTAGTGTAGTTAATCTAAAAGAATTTGCATGCCATTATTTTGATGGACCTTATTCTGAATCTTTTCATGTTTATGGAAGAAGGGCTTTTCTCTTTTGCATGCTTAACCAATATCTTCTCACCGGTGGTAGAGCTAATTAAGGTCAAACAATTATATTAACTGTTTTGGAGCAAATTGAGTTTAGAAGAAATCCAATGCCATTAATTGTTGGAGAGTCTATGCTTTGTCTTGAGGAACTGAAGAGAAATCCAAAAGCACCTTTTCGGGGCTCTCCAATTTTATTACAGGTAGAAAAATAATATTTTTAATTACAGAAATCAAAAACATATTTTTGTATAGTAATATTAATTTATTTGCATTGAATTTTTTGCGTATATGGTTAATGGATAGACTAGAATTAATTAGCCCTTCTGACAATGTTGAAAAATACACTCCAGATTGCTTTGTGAGGCGAAAGAAACGCTTCTCTAAGATGGGACGCCATGAGTGGAATAAAGTCTTTGCCTCTTGCAACTTTGCTATCAAGTGGGTCATCCCTTGGTGGAAAATAGAGAAGATGGTGTCAACAAGCAACCTTTCAGTCGTCTTCCAAGCTTAACCAAGATGACATTTTATTATCTCTGCAGAGTAAAAAGACAATACGACCTACTTCAAATAACTCCTTATGGGGATCTTCCTCGTCCATATGAATTCTCTGTTTCATAAGATGTAGAGAAATTTGACGCATATTGTAGCTCTAGACCTTTATGGGAAGTAATTACCCAAAAGGTTCCTCCTTCCTTGCTCAATGATGTGAAGAGATGGCTTCTTAAAAAGCCTTCAAAGGACATGAAGAAAAATCAGAGTAGAACCAATGTGAAGAATAATCTAGGTGACAAAGTGATTACTGTTAAGGAACGCTTGGGTGAAAAGATTGAATTCAAAACACCTATGATGCCTAAGAAGAAAGACTCTACAAAGGATAAAGGGAAACGAAAAGCTGACACTTCAGAAAAGAAGGTTTAGGTAGAAAAGAAACATGGAGTCCTAGCTAAGGGAGAAACCATTTATTCTAAAATTGAATGTAGGTCCTCTAAAGGATACCTACTAGCCAAAGTCCTGGATGATGAAGATGATTTAGATAAGAATTGGAAAAGAGCAAAGAAAGAAAAGAAAGATTGAAGCATTGCTTAACTTCCAATTTATTAGACTTAGTTTTAAAGTTAATTTGTTTTATTATGCTTTCATTTAAATTCCATCAATATTGTAATGTTTATTTTATTTTATTAATGAAATTTTAGCCTTTTAATTGAATCAACTTCTTTGAATTTAATTTATTAAAGCAATAAAAACAGAAAATTTTATTTTCCATAACTTGTTTTGAGTACAGAAGTCGAAAATTTTCCGAAAAACACCGAAATTTGCCCATAAAATCCTAAATGAGCGGCGCCACCGTTTTGTGTCTATCCCCAGACGTTTCCATCTGTCGGACGGCGACAGGAGCTGTCGTCTTGCGCTGCATTCTATCGGCCGGCGACAAACTTCTTTCTGTGGCGCTACTGTTTTGTCGAATTTCTTTTTATTTCTGGGATGCGAGGTTTGCAAAAATTAAAGTGGCCGCACCCTGTAAAGGGTTGCCTACGTATCCTTTCCTAAGGAATCTGGCCAAACGTAGCTCTCTTGAGTATCTTGCTCAAGTAATTATGGGCAGTACTTTTTAAGTTGGTCAAATTTCGTCATGTTTGAGAACACATTGCCATCCACGTCAGTTAGTTTTGCTGCACCTCCTGATAGGATTATTTTGACAATATAGGGTCCGGACCAATTAGCCAAAATTTGCCTCTTGGATCCAAAACATTTTTCCTTAATTCTTTTAACACCAAGTCTCCTACATTGATGTTTCTTATCTTGATCTTCTTATTAAAATGTCTAGCCATACGGGTTTGATAGCATTGGGTATGATGCAGATCTTCTAGTCGCTTTTCATCAAGTAGAGTTAACTCTTCATACCTTGCTCTAGTCCATTCGACTTCATCGAGTTTACTGTTTAATGCAATGCGTAGAGATGGTATCTCTAGCTCCACAGGTTGTACGACATCCATTCCATAAACCAAGGAGAATGGCTTATTTCCTGTTGATGTGCGAATTGACGTGCGATAACCCCAAAGTGCGAAATGGAGTTGGTCAGGCCAATCGTTTTAATTTTCTGTTATTTTCTCGATGATAGTCTTCCTCTCTAGGTGGATAAGTGTATTCTACCTTTTCCAACTGATTGGTGAGAGTTTCCAGATAATTTTGGTAACGGGCTAGACTTTCACTCCTTACTTTACATCTTTTAGAAATCTTGTTGATGATCAATGAAGAGTCTTCGAATATTCGTAATTTCTTTACTCCCAATGCCAAAGCTGTTTCAAGGCCTACCACGCATGCTTTGTATTTAGCAGTGTTGTTGGTAACGTCGAAATCTAGCTTTATGGAGATTGGAACATGCTCTTCTTTAGGTGATACTAATAATACTCCAACGCCACATCTCTTTTGGTTTGAGGCTCCATCGAAGTATAAAGTCCAAGTATCATATAATGTGACCATCGAGTTCTTCGTTAGGATATTCATTCTCATGTATCGGCGTCGAATCTTCTATTGGGAAATCCGCTATGAAATCCGAGACCACAGATCCTTTGATAGCCTTTTGAGGCATGAATCTTACATCGAACTGTTGGGGTTTGGTGAGTCCGACTCACCGCGGAAATAACCCCGACCCAAAAAACCACTCGTAATTTATAAAACCATTAAGCATAACAAATAAACATAAAAGGATAAAATTGGAATTTACCTTTGAAGCGTGCTTCGCCCTTAAAGTCAGGCTCTTACTTGAAAGCTTAAGCATCGAAAATACGCGAGTCTCCTACAGAAATTCACCCGCAAAAACTACTAGCGACTTTTAGGTCCGTTACCTTGAGGTTAGCGAGGTCCGACCAAAACTCGATTCTTATATGAGTTTAAGAGTTTTTGCTAATGAAATGCTCTATTGAACTCCTACTCAAGAAAAGAATTCTCTAGCCATGCTTTTGCTATTTATAAGGAAGGATAGCTTGTGAATTCCACTCATCTTTCAATGTGGGACTTTTCACAAAAAGATCCCACATGAAAAGATTGATGAATTCAATCCATAGTTAAAAAAACAAAGGAACAAGTAACAAGTGTCACATGGTTAGGTGAGGACCACTTTCCCACTTGGTCCCCAAGGCAATTCACATGCAATGTGAACTAATTATGTGTCACCCAACCTTGAGCTCCAAGTTGGGTTCGGTTGGGCCATTTTATTTTGGCCCGTGTCCATGACCCATCGCCCCGGGTCCACGGCCCTTGCCACATGTGTCTCCACAGTGGCGCGCTGCCACGTGGCATAATGCCTACGTGGCACGCTACCTACAAGGCATGCTGCCACGTGGCACGATGCCACTTGGCAGCTTCCAACGTGGCTACCACGTGTGCTGCCACATGCCGTTTTGCCATGTGTGCTGCCACGTGGCACACTCCTATTGGGCACGCTTTCCTAGACTTTCGCGTGGCTAGGATTTTACTTGTTACTTGAAGATTTTCTAGTCTCGCCAAATCCTAAATTTTGGCTCCACATTTGAGATTCTCCGACGCTCGGTTTCGACGCTCCAAGCTCGAATTTGCGACGTCTTAATATTTAATACTCGGGCGACGAATTAATTTCTTCCTAATTAATTCGCCGAGTCGGTTCATTTACTGCTATGGGTGTGACCCGAAGGGTTCAGTCAAAATTAAGCTGTAATATTAGTTATGCATTAATATTACTGATTGGAAGCGGCCTCCACCTAGGAATTCCGATCACTTGACCTTACTGAATATATTAGCTTTCTAATAATTCTGAACCCACTATTTGAATAATACACTTGTTCGAAGGACACCATCCCTTTCAATCTCCTACTTGTCCTTCTGGACAAGTGTGCTTTTAGTGTATAGCCCTTTTCCTATGTCGCTTAATGTCTCTTCATTAACCATAAGGTAAGATTATTTTGTCATCCTTATTACGTCCAGAAGTGTTTCTCGATTCCGAGTCTGACTGTCAAAAAACAGATGATTTC